TTGCAGTGGCCATGAGCGGCCACTGCCCTCCAGCCTGGGCGACAGAGTGAGACTCCAACTCAAAAAAGGAAGAAAAAAAGTGGTTAATAAAGGCCATCAAATGCCAAAAATGGGCTGGGATGCAGTGACTCACACCTGTAATCCCAGCACTTTGAGTGGCCAAGACGGGAGGATTGCTTGAGTCCAGGAGTTTAAGACCAGCCTTGACAAAATAGTGAGGCCCTACCTCTACAAAAAATAAAAATAATTAGCTGGGTGTGGTGGTGCATGCCTGTAGTCCCAGCTCCTTGGGAGGTTGAGGCTGCAGTGAGCTGTGATTGTGCTACAGTGCTCCAGCCTGGGCAACAAAGTGAGATCCCAACTTTAAAAAAAAAAGTAGTGGTTGGAAAAGTGAAGGGGTTCTGACCACAGATGATGATGGGGGTAAGAGCTAGACTTGTGACCACCAGGCAGGCTCCACCTCAGGGTGCTTTGGAGGGTTCCAAGCAGGGAAAATCAGGGTCAGGTTTGGGTTTTTTGTTGTTTTTTGTTTTTGTTTTTTGTTTTTTTTGAGTTGGAGTCTCACTCTGTGGCCCAGACTGGAGTGCAGTGGCCGCTCCCGGCCACCACAGCCTCGACCTGCTGGGCTCTGGCAATCCTTCCGCCTCAGCCTTACAAGTAGCCAGAATTACAGGCATGCGCTACCACGCCCAGCTGATTTTTTGATTTATTGTAGAGATGAGGTCTCGCTGCCCAGGCGGGTCTTGAACTCGCGGGCTCAGGCAATCCACTCACCTCAGCCTCCCAAAGGCGCGGGATGACAGGCTGAGCCACCGAGCCCGGCTCTTTATTTGTTTTTTAATCAATATTTTTTATTATGATATTGTGGGGTACAGTTAAGGGTTAGGTATACAAATATGCTTTGTTCAGGTACCCTTGTTGATAAGTGGCATCTCCCCATAGGTTTGGTTTTTTTAGGAAGATTCCCCTGACCACCTTGTAGAGGGTGGATCAGAAGGGGAAACTGAGGCAGGGAGCCCAGGGAGAGGAAAGAACAGGACCAAGGTGGCCAGGGTAGGGAGGAGGCAGGTGGAGAGACACTCAGGAGTCCAAATCGGCAGGCCGTGGGGTTGGTGGGCTGGGTGGGGGAGGGAGAGAAGTATCCATGGCAAAGCACAGGGAGGGACTTGGGGGCAGTGGGACCACCCTTGAGCGGGAGGGTTCGGGAAGAGGGTAAGCTTAAAGAGACCCTGAGACCAGAGCTAGACCCAGTGGGCAGAACACGCCTGGAGGATGTCCAGGGGGAGTTGTCCAGGAGGCCATGAGATCCCCAAGACTGGGATTCGGGAGAGAAACAGAGCTGTGGGCATGACCCATGACCTTGGCATCTACCCAAATGTCTGCTGTAATCTCAGCTTCTCCCAGCTCCTACCCTCACTCTGTTTCTCTCCTGAGCCATGCTGTGAACCTTGTGTCTCCTGGAAGTCCAGGGCCTTGTAAGGCATGTCCTCAAGTGTCCCTCGAGTCTCTGAGTACTAAGGCCAGAGCTCCTCCCAGTTAGAAGGGAAGAGAAAACACCTCACAGAGGTGAGAGGGGAATATTTATATCCTCACCACTTCCTTAAGTTCTATGACGAAGGGAAGCAAAACAGACAAGCGGACAGAGCCAGTCAGAGCTTGAGATATCCAGGAAGGTGGGTCTAGATCTTATTTCCTGAGGGGGGAAAAGAAAAAGCGCCCCCGCAAAAGACTATTTTAGTTGAAATTTCCCAACTATTAAAGTCAGCTCGTTCAGATTTAAAATAATACCGCTACCTCAGCCAAACAAGGCAGGTCTAGGGGCCAGATTCTACACCCAGTTTGAGCCTCTGCTGTATAACTTTAGCTTTGGAGCCTGACAGCCTGGGTTCAATTCCTCATGTCTGCAGTTGCTTTGCTGTGTGCCTTTGGGCAAGTGGCCTAACATCTCTGTGCCTTAGTTTTGTCATCTATAATATGGGAATAAAAATCATATGTACCTGAACCAGGCACAGTGGCACACACCTGTAGACCCAGCTGCCTGGGCGGCGAGGAGGGAAGATCACTTGAGCCAGGAGTTCAAGACCAACCCGGGCAACATAGCAAGACCCCATCTCAACCACAGCAACAAAATCATATCTACCTCCAAGGGTTATTGGGAGAATTCAGTAGGTTAACATGTGTACATGTTACCTATTATTTCTCCATCCTCTTAAGATATTCACATACAACATAAGCTTACTGAAACCTTGCAACAGTTCTAGCAGGTAGGTATCCTTCGGAAACCCATTTCCAAGATGAGGAAACAGGCATAGCATGGTAAGATGATTTGCTCACCTCATGTCACATGGTGATTCTGTGGGACAGCCTTAGAACTCAGAGCTCTTGCTTGTTACTCCAGTTGCCTCTGCCTGCTATATTCTTTCAGCATGCCTGGACCTGGCCATAGGATTGGCCGGGGTGGAGGATATGCATGTCCTACCCTGGCCCAGCCCATCTACCTGGGACCTGGCCACTGACTGCTACTTCGTACCCTTTTCCTCCAGAGTTGGAAATGGCCAAAGCCCGGAACCAACTAGATGCTGTTCTGCAGTGTCTACTGGAGAAGAGTCACATGGACAGGTGGGGTCACAGGACTGGGTTATCTAGGTGGGACCCTAGAGGCTGACTTGGGGCCCTTAGAACCCTCAGCCAACAGTCCTCTTCTGCTACCAGGGAGCGTCTGGATGAGGAAGCTGGGAAAACCCCCTCGGACACCCACAATAAGTAAGTTTTTTTACTGGATCTGGATCTGAGAGTTTGTGGTTGGTCACTTCTTCCCTCAACCCTCCCCTGTGCTTCCTCAGTCATGGTCCTAACCACCCTGCATGTACAAAGACCCTGTGGCAGAAGGGTTTAGGCCCCCTCGAGGTTGACACTAGAGCCCCAGGGGTATGGCGACCCAAGGGGTAGGCACGATTCGTGTGAACGCCTCAGCCTTGATCCCAGTCTCCCCAGGGTGCCCACTGGGGGATTCTGAGCAGGGGTTTGAGGGTCAGCCTGCTGATGCCGTGTTTCTCCCCACAGGGATAGTTCCATTGCAGCCACTGGCAAAAGGTAAGGGGGCGGGGGCCCCAGCCAGAGGTTCCTGCTGCCCACCCTGGTCCTGACACTCCTCCTCCCCATGTAGGCCATCCGCCCGCTTCCCTCACCAGCGGAGGAAGAAGAGGAGGGAGATGGATGACGGGCTGGCTGAGGGAGGGCCGCAGCGATCCAGTGAGTAGACAGCAGCCCCAGAGGGTGGGCAGGGATCTATATGAGGAGACTCACGTACTTCCCGCCCCCGCCACCCTAGACACGTACGTGATCAAGCTGTTTGACCGGAGCGTGGACTTGGCCCAGTTCAGTGAGAACACACCGCTGTACCCGATCTGCCGGGCCTGGATGCGCAACAGCCCTTCAGTGCGGGATCGTGAACGCTCTCCCAGCTCACCGCTGCCCCCGCTGCCAGAGGATGAGGAGGTGGGATGGGTGGGGAGCCCCTGCCCAGCAGCCAGGGAGGGCAGTGAATGGACAGGCTCAAGGGACCCTTGTCCAAGCTAGTGGGGTAGACAGGCACAGGTCCCTGTGTCCCTCAGATGAATTCCGGATCAGGTGAGGCACACAGATGTGTACCCTTAGGCTGGGGGTATGGATGGAGATGCCTAGGACAAACATAAGTGGCCACCTGGCCTAGGGGGACAGGGAACATGGTTGCCCAGGGCAGTTAGACGTGACCTCCAAGGTCAGGGGTTCCCAAGAGCTGAGAGGCTGCACAGGGTCCTTAGTGCAGACAGCTGTGGCCACCTGGCCTGGGGAACAGATGGAGACCCCCCTGGGCAGGTTAGATGGGGGTCTGTAAGTCATCTGACCTGAGAGAAGAGACAGGGGTCCCCAGGACAGACATATAGGACCCTTCAAATTGTCAAGACTGGATAGAGATCTAAGTGACACCGATGTGACCTCCTCGACAGGATTATCTGAGGCAGACAGGCATGACTCCCAGGAAGACAGGTATAGATGGTGGGGTCCTTCGGCTGGACGGGAGAAAACAGAGATTAAGGTGTCTGCCCTTCAGACATGACTCCTGTAAACACAGGTTCCTCGGCAAGACCCTCGTATCTTTTTTGGCTACAAAACGCAGGAGGGATTAAAGGTGTGTTCCCACCCTCTACTCTGACTCTTGGGCCTAGCGTGGGGTCCTTGTGTCCTCAGGGTTCAGAGGTTACCAACAGCAAGAGTCGTGATGTGTACAAGCTGCCTCCACCCACAGCCCCCGGGCCCCCTGGAGATGCCTGCAGATCCCGCATTCCATCCCCACTGCAGCCTGAGACCCAAGGCACCCCCGAAGATGAGGTGAGTGTGCAAGACCGGCCCAGGGTTGCAGGGCATATGTTGGGAGTTCCAGCATGGCCACCCAGCCTGGCCTTTCTGTCCACGTAGCCCTCGGAGTCCGAGCCTTCACTATCCACACTCATCTATCGCAACATGCAGCGCTGGAAACGCATCCGCCAGAGGTGAGTGTCCCCCAGCCTGCTCGCCTGATGGCCTCTGGCAACTGCTGAGTCTTCCCTCTGCCTCCCCAGGTGGAAGGAGGCCTCTCATCGGAACCAGCTGCGTTACTCAGAAAGCATGAAGATCCTCCGGGAGATGTATGATCGACAGTGATGTTCCCCAGGCTCCCCATTCCCCATCCCAATAAACATCCCCTGACTCCACACTGGCCTCTGCTCCAGCCCATTCTTCCGGCACAGACATGAAGCAGTTGGCACAGCTCTAGTACATTTATTGGGGGGGGGGTGGCATGGGCTCCAAAGAGTTTTGGGGAATCACAGACTGGTTGCTTGGTTGGGTCTTAGAGGAGAAGTGTGGGAGGTGGGTTGCCAAGGTATTTGATTGGAGACTTGGGGGTCAGGACAAAGAGGCTTAGAGGTCTAGTTAGAGTTTGGGCGGTCTTGGAGGTCTGCAGAGTCTGGCGAGCTATAGGGGAGGTGTCTGTACAGTTTGAGGTTGGGTGTTCTGGTTGGCATGGGCTAAGGGTCCAAGGGCGGGGGAGTCAGAAAAGGGTTCCAGAGTCTGAGATGGCCAGCTGAGGTCTCAAGTCAGAAAACAGGCTGGTGGAGAGCAGATTGTCTGGTTGCAGGAAAAGGATTCAGAGTCTAGGGAATCAAGCCTCGATGGTCCGGAGTGGGAGGTCTGTGTGGTTTGGGACATTTGAGGGGGGGGATTATGCCTGACTAGCCTGGGGTTTTCGCAGGCTTGTCTGCGCCAGTCTGGTGTCAGAGTGGGAAAGGGATGGAAATAAGGTGTGGAGATGTCTTCGCAGGGGAGTCAGAAGGAAGTAGAGAAGGAAGTCTCGAATAGGAATATATGCCAAGAAAGTGGGCCGGTAGACTGAGGGTTAGGGTAGTGCTTATAGGGTCTGGAAGCTAGGGGGGTGACGGGGTAGGAGCTGAAAGCTGGAGGGGGTGTGAGAACGCTGGTATCAGTGGAAGGGTCTAAGGTGGAGAGGCCAGGGCGGCATCCGGGACTGGGTGAGAGGGCGATTTTGGCGTGCTCGGGACATCTGGTTGGGCGGAGTCAGGTCGGCTTTAAAAGAGGGAGCCTGGGGCGGCTGCGGGGGGGGCGGTCAGACGCCGCC